GGCGGCGCCCCCCCCCCCCCCAATTTACAACCTTTCTTGAATTTGCTTGTGGTCCACAATTTGAGAAGCGCTGTGTTACAGTAGCATACCACATCATGCTATTTGTTCAGCAACCTAAAATTTTCAAAACCAGGACCTTAGCTTGCAGACCTTTTCATGATGCTTTCCCTTAGAAATGTTATGGGTTGTACAAGGCACAGTATATAAGTTTGATAAATATTTATTTCAAGAATTATAGTCAATTAAAGCTAAGCAGTATCTATGAACTAAAAAATAGCTTTCCAGACTAACCTGGTGGATTGTCATACTCTGTTTAAATTGTCCTTGTAGCTCTGGGATGAATTCTTTTTTCATGCTGGGCTGTTCTCATAATCTTGAATTGCTTGGAGGGGAATTCTTTGGCTTGGGAATCTGTGAATTATACCCATGTGGCTTACTTAGAACAGCACGTGATATTTTATTTATTTATTTATTTGTTCGTCTATTTTATTTTATTTATTGTCTGCAAAAGTAGACACTTATACTGTGGGATAAAAAAATTCAAATCAGATTCATGCACTCAGAACATGAAAAGAATCATGTTGAGAAGGATATGGCACACATGGTTGTGAACCACCCATGGAAATTCTTTTCTTTTTTTTAGAGTTGAAACAAACAAAGATAATAACAAGACTTTTGAAAGTCTTTCCATGTAATATTATTATCTATAGTTCCTCATTTGCTTCTACTTAATCACTGTTGGAGAATATAAAAACATTAGTAGCATCCTCTTCTCATACTGGCCAGCCAAACCCAAAGCATGAAGACAGCATTCCTCCCCCACTGTGGTTCCCCTGGAATTCAGTATATGAAAATGTATGCAAAATCATGATTTATTTAGTATATGTGAAAAGGGGAAACCACACTGAGCATATTCTGAAAATGTGTGTCTTTAAAAGAGTCATTTAATTCTTGACCAATATTCACAGTGGAGATGGGAGATAATATCAGTAAAGAGGCTCTCTGTTTGCTGTAGATTCCTAGCTTTCTTCCTTTTCTTGTGAAAAAAATTCAACTCCCTGAATTCCTAGCCTTTTCCCATCTTTCTTCCCACAAAGGCAGAAATCACCTTGGTTTTGCTTATATATAATTACATTAGAATTGTAATGATTGCTTGAGGGGAAAAAATCCCCATTGCCTGGTTTGAATAGATCATTTGGAGATTAGCTTTAACTTTCCTTGATCTTACATTCCTCATTCTTAGAAAAAAAAAAAATCTGAACCTGCAGTTTAGTGGTTCCACAAGCAAGATAAAAAGTCTCTTCTTTTCCTCTTGCCCGAGCTCCCTTGGGTTGAATGTCATCTGACAACCCTAGGCAGCAGTTGGCATCCTCTTGGTGTTAGGTTTCAGCAGGTCCTCAGATTGGTGCCATCTCCTCGGAGATTGTCTATTTTACAATATCACAGTATTTGAAAGAAGACCAATGTGCATATTTAATAATTAAGAAAATAACTCTCTGATTTGACATACAGTTTTGGTTATCAAAAGAAGTCATCATAGCATTACTTACAGTTGTGTGAAATACATGATTGGCTACCTGAAGCTCTTTACTCTAGGACAGTGTTTCTCAACCTTAGCAACTTTAAGTTGTGTGGACTTCAACTCCCCAGAATTCCCCAACTAGGAGGATGGGTGGCTGGGGAATTCTGGGAGTTGAAGTCCACACATCTTAAAGTTGCTGAAGTCGAGAAATACTACTCTAGGACATGTCTGAATATAGAAGGTGACATACACCATTGGCTTGTATCTAATTATCATTAGGCAAGAAGGAATGATGTCACTCCCTGAATTTAAATAGCTATATCCTTTTGGAATTCATAGTTGTGATGTTTTGATACTTCAGCTTGATTACTGCCTGGTTACCTCTTGTATACAGTCATTTCTTCCGTGTAGCATATATCTGCACACTTCTTTCTCTTGAGAGCTTTGCCATCAGTCTTTTCTCTTCTTTCCAGGAGGCTCATGAAGGATTTTGATTTATTAATCCTAATTGTCTCATTGAGTTTTTTTTAAAGACGGAAGCAAAATTGGTTCAGCAAAGGCTTGAGACAAGGCAGGTTTGTGACAACTACTTGTTTCTTCAAAACAAAAACAGTCTTCCAAGTTCCACTTAAAAAAAAAATGTTTATGTACAATCTGCCTAATACATTCAGATAAGATAGTTGCTTTTTTTGTGGATTCCTAGCTCTTTCTGTGTTTCTTTGAAATATTTCTTTTATCTTGCTGCGTTCCTCACCATCCCAGTGTAATTCAAGACAGGGCCATATCCACTTCCAAGGGTTCAAAATGTTCTGATGATCTTTCTCTTTTCTTTTCTGCACTATGGATGTTTTATCTAACCTTTATTTTTCTCTTTTTGTTGTAGGTAAAATTGGGCTCACCAACACACCTTAAACATTAAAAACTTTTGGTGTCTAAAAGATGTGCCATGGAATGGTAGGAGCAAAGAGCACGACAACATTGTTGCTTGCCTTGATCAGTCATGGGATATTTTTTCCATTCTTTATCTTTAGTTCCTGTATGGTGGAAGGATTGGACTCATGTAAGTAAAATTCTTCCTATCTGTTTCAAGCATATTTCTATCATTCTCTACAATAATTCAGGGCAACTAACAACAACTCTTGAAAAATGGGTTCTTGTCTAAAAGGTTCATGAACCAAACCAAGCCATCGTTTAAGGCAGCTGCATACTTTTAAAAAAACGTGTGTACTCATCAGCATTTGGGGGTGGGGGTGTTTTCTCTGGGTTGCATGCTTGTACATGAAGTGGAGATTCTGATTTCTGCTAGTGACAAGGCTAACCTTTTTGAGTAAGAGTGTGGATACAAGACTGTGGCATTAGATATACTGAGGAAAACACATTTTCAAATCCTGTATTAAAACAACCACTTACTCTATATATTTAAGGGTGGATCTTGTTATTTGCTACATGTGATCCAGAGAATCTGCTATGTAGGTAATACCAACGCATATCATTAAGTTTTACAAGGCAGGCCAATTGTGGTAAAGGTGAAAATATTTCCATGCACACACTCCAGAGGCTAGAGTCAGTAGGACTGCATGGAGCAAACCCTACCCTCCTTCCAAATACTGTTTCCAAGGATACTTCTTTATCTTCCCCCATATAAATTCACTTACTTCAGAAAGGTAGTAAACGAAAGTTGTTGTCGTTGTTGCTGTTGCTAGGTCTTGAGCCTGATGAGGGTATTCCATAGTAGGGTTCAGCATGTCTTTGCAGTGAAGAGCTCCTTACTTTCTACTACAGAAACTAGATGCAATGGGCAGTGTGTCTTGCATTGCCTTCTGGAACTTATTTGTTGCCATCTTTTATAAGTCTCTAAGTTTCCTTTCAGAACTCCCCTGCCAGAAGCTCATTGTCCAATGGATTGGGAGGAAAATGTCATGGGAAAGAGATGGATTAGAATTATCCACTCTTACGTAGATAACATTTAGGATAATGCTAAGAATCTTAACAGCAGGAGAATTTTTTAGGATTATATTGTATATATGTATATATTATGTAACACACACACACACACACACACTGTACAGGTAGTCCCCAGTTTAAGAATGAGTTCCATTCCCAAGGTCTGTCCTTAAGTCGAATTTGTTTGTAGGCCGGAACAGTGTTATTGTATAATACTGTATAAGTAGTATTATGTAATTGACTCAAACCATTGTGTATTTAACTTGAATTTTGCTACAGTAGGCTCCATTCTTAACTATGGGTTGTCCTAAAACCATCCGTACACACACACACACACACGCACACACATACTTATATGTGATGGAATGGAATTATGAAGGCCAGGCTCAGGGAGAAAAACATTTTCTTACATC